TAGCAGTGCTGGGTCAAATGGGAGCTCAATTTGTAACTCTTAGAGAATCGTTTTATACTGTTTTCCCAAAGAGCAGATCCAGTCGGCATTCCCACCAACAATGAAGAAGTGTCCCTTCCTCACCACATGCGCACCAGAATCGGTTGATCATGTCCTTTTGAATGTGGGCCAGTCTCTGAGTTGTGAGATGGTATCTCATTGTGTTTTTGCTCTGCAACTCCTTGATGATAAAGGATGTAGAGCATTTTCTCATGTGCTTATTTGCCATTCGGATTTCTTCATTGAGAAACTTTCTTTCCAATTCATTCCCCATTTTTGGATGGGGTTGAATGTTTTCTTCTTGTGGAGTTCAACCAGTACTTTGTATATCCTTGATATAAACCCATGCAGATGTGTAATCAGTGAATATCCTTTCCCATTCTGTAGACTGTCTTTGTATTTTCGTCACTGTTTCTTTGGAGGTGCAGAAGTTTCTTCGTTTAAGATAGTCCCATTTATCTATCTCTGTTTTCACTTGCTTGGCCCGTGGCGTGGTATCTTTGAAAATACCATTAGCTTCAATGTCATGGAGGGTTTTGCCAACTTTTCTTCAATGTTCCTTATGGTTTCTGGTCTGATGTTGAGGTCTTTAATCCATTTTGATCTTACATTTGTAGATGGTGTTAGGCAGAGTTCTGAAACCATTTTTTTTGCATGTAGCCGTCCATTGATGCCAGCACAATTTGTTAAGAAGGCTTTCCTTACACAGGTTCACATTTCTTGCATCTTTATCAAAGATTAGATGATCGTATGATTGAGGGGAGTTGTCACTGTATTCAACCCTGTTCGATTGGTCTGCAGTTATGCCTTTGTTTCAGTACCATGCTGATTTAATTATTACCATTTTGTAGTAGAGTTTGAAGTTATGGAGTTTGATTCCTCCCATTTTCTTTTTCCCAAGAATTACTTTATCTATTCGTGGGGCTTATTGTTCCATACAAATTTCCGGAGTGTTTGCTCCATTTCTTTGAAGAATGCCAGGGCTTCCGTATAGGTATTGCATTGAATTTGTACAATGCTTTCGGTAGTATTGCCATTTTGAAAATATTAAGTCTCCCGACCCATGAGCAGGTGATATCTTTCCATTCCTCATGTCGTCTTTTATTTCCTGAAGTAGCATTTAGTAGTTTTCTTTGTAAAGGTCCTTTACTTCCTTAGTAAAGCTGATTCCTAATTACTTGATTTTCTGGGACACAATTGTGAACGGGATTGTTTTTTTCATGAAGTTTTCTTCTCTCTCACTGTTTGCATTAGGAAAGCCATGGACTATTGTGTATTTATTTTAAAGTCTGCAACTTTACTATACAAGTCTATTGTTTCTCCGAGTTTTTTTGTGGAGGTTATTGGGTTCTCTAAGGATAGTATCAAATGATCTGAGAATAGTGAGAGCTGTTTCTTCTTTTTCTTTTCGTTGTTTTTCTCCTTTTTCTTCTTTTCTTTTTCTTCTTCGCTTTCTTCCAATTTTTCTACATTTACTTTTACTTTTCATGTTGTTTTGGTCTTCTAGCCGTAAAAGCCCAGAATTCAGTAACTCTGTTCCCTCTTATCTTGGATCAGGAATTCACTAGCACAGTTCCCTCTTATCGTGGTTAAGAATTCTGGATAGGTCAGTTAATGGTGGTCACCATTCTCCTTTCTGGAGTCGGTCCTTGTCCCAGGTGATTTCATTTGTCTATTGATGGGCATCTTATGAAGCTTTGGGGGAGGTTTTCTTCTAGTTTTGGGCTTGGACAGCTTCCAGCATAGTGCTCTCTTGTTAGAATTGGAATAGGCCAGTGGTTAATTGTTGCTGTTGAGGTGGCCAGAATTTCCCCACAGAGTTAGATGGTAAATACTGGGATGAAAGTCAAGAGTGGTGGGACTGGGAAATGGAACTGCGGCTCCTTGAATGGTGGCCCACGTCAGAGAAGGGCACGCCCACTTGAGGAGGCCACGGCCACTTTCCAGGAGGCCATGGCCCCTCCAGTGGTAGACACGCCCCAGCCAGTCCCAAAGCTAGTCCATAGACCTGTTGGAGAGTCGGAAACAGTTGGACTACCGCTCGCAGCAGAAGTAGATGAAGGTGCCCAGGCTGGGGAATCTGGGGCGGCTGGCTTTCATGGTCCTGAATTTGGGTAGGGCGTTGCCAAGATATAACAGACCCGTTGGGGCTGCGGTGTGACTAGTTGGTCTGGCGCTGGCTGTGGAAGGGGAGGCAGGTGCCCAAGGATGGGTTCCCAGCGATGGCTCAATATTGGAAAGAACTTGAATTCAGAGAGGAAGAATAGAAAATTATATGCGTGGAATGTCATAATTCCAGCAATGTGCCTGCCTCTCTCTCTGCTTATAGAGACATAAAGATATGTATATCTATCTATTTATATTCTTTCGACAGAATGTAAGATAACGATTCATGTCCTAGGAATGCTTGACAAAATATGTTACCACCATCGCAATATATGCAGTTTCGCGTTTGAATTCAATTGACATTTTAGATTCCCCAAAGTGTTCCATTCCCTGCTGGATGCAATAGCATATACCCTATATACTTGATGGGCTCCAAAGACGCAAAATTCCAAGGAAGATGAAAAAATCCAGAAGCCGAAAAAAAAGAGTTTTCTTTGAAAACTCTTAAAATATGAAAATGAAGGAAAAATAACATCTCTGAAGAAGACGACATGACTCAAGTGTGTTACAAGAAGGGCATGACGATAGGGACGTCGACATAAATGAAGCATTGTATATCAATTCATAGAAAAGAAATGGGAGCAGTTTTTCATTTAATATCCATAACATGTAGAGACTCTGAAGCAGAAGCAGTGTGCTGACACGAAACCTCTCTGGAAAAGAACACCAACAGGAGGTCAACGGGACCTGGAGAGATTCAGAGACCTTCATTGCAGGAGCTGAATGCATACTGAACCAGTTTACACTTTACCTGATGGGTCCAGGACTGTTGAGCTCTAAAGGTCATTTCTCAGAACCTGGGGCGCAGCTTGAGAACACTCTGCCTCAGGTGATGTGTTGCATAATGTTAGGACCCTGAGAAAATATGTTTTACAATCAAGACTATGTAAGATGAAACTGCAGAACTCCATTGGACAGAAAGTACAACGGTGTCGCAAGCACAATATTTATGAAGTGGATTTTCCATAATGAATAGGGTTCCTTATTTGGTCATCATGTGTGGTCATCACTATGTTATGGAATCAGCTGCTGCTTCCACTTTATTCAGCGTTTTCACGAAAGGAATGGATAGCAGGGTTTTTTTCCATGTGTTGAACATTCACATAATTCATTGTCCTCTTGCACAAACAGGAAGGATATGCTTTTTATCATAAAATGTGTATTAAAGCCAGTCTGTATCTATTATTCCTGGGATCTATGGTAAGCAGCGAGAAACTAGAGGGAGACTAGTTCATCGGAGACAATGTCTGTCTATTTCGCTACATGAGTAGACCTGATCTGTTTTGCTGGAAACATATCCAAATCAGGAATGCAGCCATGAAATGCAATTTTCATCCAAGTAAACATTCTGAGATCCACTGCAGAAATGCAGATAGGGCCAAAATGAGAGAAATGCCGGCCAACAAGGGAGACTACAGTATATTAATAGAAGATAAGGAATACACAAAAGAGTCGTGCAGAGAAAGTATAGAAGGAAAATATGATTAATTTTTCTGAACATCTCGTATTACTTGGTTGGAACGGAATCTTGGAAGGGTCACGGCTCTACAGTGTGTTGTCGTACATCCCTAAACATTGACCCAGCCGAGAATCTTGACTTCAAAGAGATTGACTTGCAGTTTGAGTCCCAAGTGCTAGGGCTTTGATGCCCGTCAGTGCTCTGTTGGGAAGACCTCGAGGTGCCGAGGTACAAAAGAGTGCGGCAAATCGAGCAGGACCAACGAAGCGTGACTGGACTCAATAGCTAATCCTGAGAAAGGTACTTAGCTAGCCGGTGCTAACCAGGGAATTCCTCTGGAATTCTGAGCAGATGGAAGCTCTCCCGCGCATACGCAGCCACATTCTCTCAGATCGCTCCCCCCGCCCCCCGCTTCCTGTGCATTCGGGTTCTGAGAGCTGCCCTGGCAAGGACAGGGAGCGGAAGTGTTGTCATAGAAGGCCAGGCCGTGGCTGCATCGCATCAAATTCTTCTCAATGCGATCGGCCGCATGGAGAGCGAGCAACTGTTTGAGGTGGAGAGGATCGCGGGTGAGAGGCAAGGGCTAAAAGGAACGCGAGAATACCTGGTGCAGTGGAAGGGCTATGGCTGGTATTCAGACACGTGGGAGCCAGAAGAGAATCTGGTGGACTGTGCTGAAGTACTTCGAGACTTCAGGCTGTGGCAGGCAGAAGGACTCCACCAACGTGCCGTGTGTGGTCCGTGGTGGCCTCAGAGTGGGCCTGATACACAACTCGGCGACTCCCTGCACACAGACTCTGCTCAAGTGGGGTTCAACGGCCCCGGCCCGGACTGTGTGAACACCGGACTGTTGGCGAGCAGCCAGATGTTGAGGGACATCAGCGTCAGAGCAGCTTCGAAGACCCCTGTGACCCGGAGCATCAGGACCAAGAATCAGCTCTGGGAACAACAGGACGATAGCTGCCCCATGATCCAGGTGGGTCTGCTGGCTCAGGACCAGGATGCCACGTTGGCCGCAGCAGAGAAGGTAGCTGTACCCACTCGACTTGTCCATAACACCGAGCTGTCAGAAAGGGAAAGTAGTCCTTGTCTTTCCAAGCATGGGCTGCATATGTGTGGCTTGGGTATTGAGTCGAAGCCCCTAAGGCCAACCCTCGGTGAAGGAAGAGATTCCCCAAGGAAGTCCACATCAGCAAACCCTGGAAAAAGCATGAAATGGGCGCGCCATACAAAGGAGTGCTCGAGGCAGAGGAGATCTGCGTTTGAGAGCCGGAAGCATGCTTTTGCAGCTCTGTCTCGCTTCCGCTGGAGACAGGAAGAAGGTCGCCACACATACCAAGATATAGTAGTCAGGAAGCAAGAGGCTTTCACCCATATCATATTATTCAGCAGGTCTTCAGAGAACAACTGCCTCAACCCAGGAATCATGGCAGAAATGGAGCATGCCCTGAGCAGTGCAGCTAAGGATGGCAGCCGGTTTGTACTGCTAGGCGCAGTAGGCATTACTTTCTGCACTGGACTGGATTTGGTCTATTTGAGCAAGAGCCTAGGAGTAGACCCAGAACAGCATAGTGAGAAGACTGCAGAAGCCCTGAAAAGCTTTGTGAATCATTTCATTCACTTTCAGAAACCCATCGTGGCTGCAGTTCATGGGCCTGCGGTGGGCTTAGGAGCGTCCATTCTGGCCCTTTGTGATATAGTGTGGTCCAGTGACAAGGCTTGGTTCCAGACTCCTTATGCCACCCAAGGCCAGACCCCAGATGGCTGCTGCAGCCTGACCTTTCCCATGATCATGGGAGGAACGGCTGCCTCTGAAATGCTCCTCAGTGGCCGTAAGCTGACTGCCAAGGAGGCATGCGATAAAGGTTTGGTCTCCCAGGTGTTCCATCCGGACACCTTCACGAGGGAGGTCATGGCACGAGTCAAAAAGCTGGCCTCATACCACCCGCTAGTTCTGCAAGAATGCAAGAGCCTGATTGGCTCCAGTATTAAGGCTGACCTGGAGCAGGCCAATATCAGGGAATGTGAAACGTTGAAGAGGATCTGGGCTTCTTCCCATGCTTCTCAGTTCATGCTCCATGTCTTGGACAGAAAGCTGGATCTCTCAGACTTGCGAAGGTAGACACCACCACCAGTGACCTATGCCCAAGCAGTCAAGATTGTCTTACATAGAACAACATCAACAGAGTACTCCAGTGTTATTCCAGACAACACACTACAGTTGCCTACACTTCACAATATGTGCATCACCGGCATCGTTCTTAAAAAGCCAGAGTGCACAATAACTAAGAACTCGGAAAACTGCTTCGCCCAAGCACACAATAAATAAATAATTGACACTGTATTGTAGCCTGATTTCAGTTTGATCCTTTGATTTGGTAAGTCGCAAACTGGAACTAGTTGTTCTTATTCGTCTTCATCATCCTCTTCTGTTTCTTCATTTTCTCCTTTTCTTCTTCTTATTAATATTCTTCTTTTTCTTCTTTCTTATAATATTCTTCCCTTAATAATTCTTCTTTTTCTAATTGATCTTTCTCTGATTTTTCTTATTCATCCTCTTCTGCCTCTTCTTAGTCTTCTTCTTCTTTATTTTCTTTCTTCTTCTTCTTCTTCTTCGTCTTCTTCTTCTTCTTCTTCTTCTTCTTCGTCTTCTTCTTCTTCTTCTTCTTCTTCTTCTTCTTCTTCTTCTTCTTCTTCTTCTTCTTCTTCTTCTTCTTCTTCTTCTTGTCCTCCTCCTCCTCATACTTCTCCTGCTATTTCTTCTTCTTGTCCTCCTCGTTCTCCTTCTCCTCCTTCTTTTCTTTCTTAATTTTTTCTTTGTTTTATTGTACTCTACTAGAGCGGTTTCTTTTGTTGGGCTTCTGCTTCTACTGATGCTTGTTCTTCCTGTTCTTTTTCTTGTTTTTCTTCTCCTTTTACTTCTTCTTCTTTATTTTTCTTCACTTATTTTTCTTTTACCACTTTATATTATTCTTCTTTTTCACTTAATATCCTTTTCTAATTCCTTCACCTTCACCGCCTTTTCTGCTCTGAATTCTGTTTCTTCACCCGTAGTGCACTCTTATTTTCGACAGAATGAAAGGTCTTGTTGCCTATGCTCAAAAAAAATTTCAGTATTGAAAGCAAATTACTTTCCGTTTTTTCTTTTCTTCTTCATCTTTGTTTTATTCTTCTTCTACTTCTTTATTTTCTTCTTCAATTTCCTCTTTTTCTTCTTATTGTGCTCTAATTTTCCTTCTATTTCTTCTTCTGGGTCAAGTTGTACTACGTCTTTTTCTTTTTCTTGCTTTTCTACATCTTTACTTCTCCTTTTTTCTTCTTTTTCATCACGATTCCTCATTCTTCCATTTATACTTTTCCTATGAATACTTTTTATATATATTTACTTTTTGTATTTTAGCTAAAAGAATGTGCACGTTTAAATTTTTTGATTGATACTAACTTATTAAGAACTCATATCTAGCGTAGTCGTCGTCATCCTCTTCTTTTTCTTCTTCTTTTTCTTCTTCATTGTCTTCATCTTCTCTTCTGCTTCCTCTACTTTTATACTTCCGCTTCGCAGATTCTTCTTCTTCTTTCTTTCTTCACTTCTTTTCTTCCTCTTCTTTTTAATTTTCCTCTTTTTTTTCTTTGTATTCTTCTTCATCTCCTACTTCTTCATTTACATTTCTTCCTCTGAAGCTTGTTGATATGTTGTTCTTGTAGTTCTTCTTGTTCTTGTTCTTCGTGTTCTTCTATTTCTATCATCTTTTCTTCTTCTTTTATTCTTTTTCTTCTTTATCTAATACTTCTATTCCTTCCCCTTGGTCTTCTTCTATTATTATGTTTCGCTTGCTATACCCACCTCTTCTGTTTATTCTATTCATATGAATTCTGAATTTTATATCTTTATTGATTTCACTTCTAGATAGAAGTATATCCACTTTTAAATTTTTCGAATGATATTTATGCTTTCCACATATCCAGTGTCTTCTACTTCTTCCTCGATTTCTTCTTCTTCCTCTACTTCTTCTTCTTCTTCTTCTTCTTCTTCTTCTTCTTCTTCTTCTTCTTCTTCTTCTTCTTCTTTCTTCTTCTTCCTCCTCTTCGTCTTAGTCTTATTCTTCTTCTTACTCACCATCTACTTCTTTTTCTTCTTTGACATCTTCGTCTCCTTTTTCTTATTTTTCCATTTCTTCGTTGTGTTCGTATTCTCCTTGTCTTTTTTTACTCCTTTTCTACAATTTTGTATTTCTCTTCTAAAATTTTAAACTACATCATTTTCTTGTTTTCTTTTTCTCCTTCTGTTAGTTTTTCTTCACAGTCTTTTAGACAATGGTTTCTGTGTATTGTCATGCCAGGGTTATTTTATTTTTGAAAGAATAACGGTCCATGTTTCATGTTATCTATATCAAAGTGAATTTCAGTATTCAAAAAAATTACAGGCGGTTTCTTTTTATTCTTCTTCCTCATCTCCTCCTCCTCCTCCTCCTCCTCCTCTTCTTCTTCTTCTTCTTCTTCTTTTTCTTCTTCTCCTCCTCTTCTTTCTCCTTTATCATCATCATCTTCTTCTTCTTCTTCTTCTTCTTCTTCTTCTTCTTCTTCTTCTTCTTCTTCTTCTTCTTCTTCTTCTTCTCTTCTTCTGTTTCTGCTCCTGCTTTTGCTTCTGCTTCTTCTCATTTTCGGATTCTGCTTCTTTTTCTGAAACTCATTGTTCTTCTTCCTCTTCCTCTTTTCTACTGTATGGTCTGCTATAGTTACTTCTTCTCTTATTTATTTTACTATGAATTATATATCTTATATATTTACTAGTTTCTCTCTTAGCTAGAAGTAGAAACCCGTTTAAATGTTTCAAAAGATTCTTACGTATTAAGTACACATTTTCAGCATGTTCTCTATTCTAAGTCTTCGTCTTCCTTTTTGTCTTCCTTTCCTTTTCATCTTTGTCATCTTGTTCTTGTTCTTCTTATCCTCCTCTTTCATCATCATCATCATCATCATCATCATCATCATCATCATCATCATCATCTTCTTCTTCTTCTTCTTCTTCTTCTTCTTCTTCTTCTTGTTCTCCTTCTTCTTCTTCTTCTTCTTCTTCTTCTTCTTCTTCTTTTTCTTCTCTTCTACTGCTTCTGTTCTTGCTTTCTTCTACTGCTTCTGTTCTTGCTTTAGCTTCTGATTCTTCTCGTTTTCTGCTTGTGCTTCTTTTTCTGCATCTGCTACTTCTTCTTCTGGTTCTCTACTGTTAGGTCTCTACAATTAATTCTCTTATTTATTTTTCTATGAATTACTTAGTTTACATTACTTTACTTTATGAATTATGTACCTTATATATTTATTAGTTTCTCTCTAGGCTGGTAGTACAAACCCATTTAATTTTTCCAAAGATTCTTATGTATTAAGTACACGTTTTCAGCTTGTTCTCTCTTCTACATCTTTTTCTTCTTTTCTTCTTCCTTTTCTTCTTCTTCTTTTTTGTAATATTCTTGTTCTTTTTCGTGCTCTTGTTCCTCTTACTCTTCTTCTTCTTCTCCATCTCTTCTTCCTCTTCTTCTTTTTCTTCTTCTTCTTTGTCGTTTTTTCTTCTTTCTCTTCTTTTTCTGGCTTCTGCTTCTTCTGCTTTTTTGTTCAGCTTCTACTGTATCTTCTTCGTTTCTTCTTTTCTAATTCTTTTTCTTTTCTTATCTTCTTTTCTTCGTTTTATTCTTCTTTTTCTATTTTTTTCTTCATCTTATTCCTGTTCATCTTCTTTTTCTTCGGTTTCTCTTCTGCTTTTTCTGCTTCTTTTGCTTCAGTTTCTTCTTTTTCAACTTTGTCTTCTTCGTTTCTTCTTTTGTACTTCTTTTTGTATTCTTGTCTTCTTTTTGTCTTCATCTTCTACGTCTTCTTCTTCTTCCCCTTTGTCTTCTTTTTTGGCTTCTGTTTCTGCTTCTTCTACTTCCTCTGCTTCAGTTACTTCTTTTTCTAATCTTATCTTGTTCTTAGACTTTTCTTCTTTCTCTTCTTTTTATCCTTCTTTTCTCCTTATAGTTATATTCCTGTGATTTCCTCACGTTTGTCGCCTTCTGCTCTGAGGATAGAATAAACTCCCTACACTGTCGTTTTGTTTTCTCCTTAAAAACTACTCCAATAACTTTTTTGTTTGGATATTTACTTAAAAGATTCAAGATATCAATAGCTTCTTTTTTCATCTCCCCCTATTTCTACTCTTATTTTCTTCTTGTTCTTGTACTTGACATTCGTTTAATTGTTCTTCTTCTTCCTCTTGTCTTTCTTCATTTTCTTCTTCTTCTCTTCATTTTCTACATCTTCTCCTTATTCTCATTCGTTTCTTCTTCTTTTTCTCATTCTCCTTCTAGTCTTTCTTCAACTTCTTTTCTTCTTCTTCTTCTTCTGCATCTTCTTCTTCCTCTTCCATTCCTTCTAGCTCTCGATCTCATCCACGTACTCCTCCTCCTCCTCTTCCTACTCCTCCTCCTCCTTCTTCTTCCTTTTCTCCTCCACTTGCTCCTTCTTCTTCTTCTTCTTCTTCTTCTTCTTCTTCTTCTTTTCCTTCTCCTTCTCCTTCTTCTTGGACTTCATCTCCTTTCCTTCCTCTTCGATTTCTTCTTAATATTCTTCTTCTCCTTCTCTTCTTCTATTTCTCCTTATTTTACACTTACGTATGTCTCTTCTCCAAATTTTCAACCAATTCATATTCTTCTTATTGTTTTCGTCTCCTTTTTAATTAGTTTTTCTACACACTATTGTATAAAATTAACCCTGTATATATTCATGCTTGGGCTCTTGTATTTTTGACAGAATGACAAATCATATTTCATGTTTTCTATTTCAAAGACAATTTGACTATTGAAAAAAAATTACCAGCAGTTTCTTCTTTTTCTTCTTCTTCTTCTTCTTCTTCTTCTTCTTCTTCTTCTTCTTCTTCTTCGTCTTCTTCGTCGTCTTCTTCTTCTTCTTCTTCTTCTTCTTCTTCTTCTTCTTCTTCTTCTTTCTCTTCTTCATCTTCTTCTCCATATTCATCTCCTTCTTCGTTTCCTCAACTTCCTATTAGTCTTCTATATATTATTATTTCTCTTACTCTTCTTCTGTTTATCGTTTTTTCTAATTATACTGTTTTCTTATCTTCTCCAGTACTTTCTA